TCTTCTTCTTCTACCCCGTGGTTGGGGCAACCGTGGGAGCACCACTGCATCTGAAGACAAGCTCTCGCCATCTACTTTTGTCCTCTGCTTTCCTCAGTTTGTCACCCATCGTCTTTCTTGTCCACTCTGTAATGTTGTCCTCCCATCTCCTTCTCTGCCTTCCTCTCTTTCTCTTTCCTTGTACGGTTCCTTACAGGATTGTTTTGGCAAGTCCTGGGGATCTTGGGACATGCCCATACCATTTTAATTTTCGTCTCTTCACTGTGGACAGTAGATCTTCATGCTGCCCCACTGCGTTGGTGATTCTCTTTCGTACCTCAGCATTTGAAACGTGGTCTTTGTACGAGATGTCAAGGAGTCTGCGGTAACATCTCACCTCTGTAGTCTGAATCTTTGTATCTAATTCTGCTGTTAGTGTCCACGACTTGCAGGCGTATACAAATATTGAGATGACCAGTGAGCGCATTAGTCTGATTTTTGAGTTTTGCGTGATGTTTCTGTCCCTCCAAATAGGCTTCAGTTTTTCAGTTTTGACAGCACAGCTGTTGTTTGCGCAATTCTGGAGATAATTTCTTGTCTTGAGCTGAGTTTGAGCTTAAGCCCATGTTAAACTAATGTGAGTTTGCCCCGCTATACCACCAACGGATTGGCCGCCAGAGATACACACCACACACGGCGTACGGCACCAAAAAAGCAAAAACAAAAACAAAAAACAAACAAATAAACAACCAAAGCACAACCCCCCCCCGAGTACAAGGGGAAAACAAGAGATGTCAGCGCAGCTTGAGCCTTATGGCACCCCCCCCCCCAATCTTCCCCTTCAAGCAACCCGCAGTCGTTATGAGGTCTTGTGGTCGCTACATTGTTTACTCGCATTTCTAAATGGTGGAGAGCAACAGACCATCAGAGATAACAGGAAACCCCACCAAAGAAATAAAAATGTTTAAAATTATACAGAAAAGATGAACTTACTGAATTGCAGAGATTTTCAGTTCGCTTTATGGGTTTGCAACTGCAAACGACAAAAATGTTTTGAGGTGACAACTGATGACGAAAGAGAAGTCTTGTTAGCCCGTTTCAGTAGCCTCAGCAGAAACAAACACACAAAAAAACATCATACGTGCGTCTCTCATATCGTTTGACAAGATAAAAAACAGACGTCCTCACAAGACTGGATATGAAGCAGAACTCCCCAATTATGACGATAAATATAACATCTCTTATAGCAACTTTCACTCTTTGTGCTTTCTTCTAGAATGCTGAATAACTCGAGGGAAACGCTGGCCCTAAATCGTCCATAGTGGCGGGGCAAACTAATTCAGGGAGCCAAAGCCGAGCACATCGCCGAAGTCAAACGAAAAGAACGGGCGCAAGTCTACATCTGCTACCCCCACCACAAGTCCACCAGCCGACTACCCGTGCCCACACTGCGGGCGAACCTTCCGTGCCTGGATAGGCCTAATCAGCCATCTCTGGACCCCATAGTCACCGTCAACAGACTGATTTGTGACGTCACGGCAATCCCCAAAAGCGAAGGATGAACAACAAAAGCACTAACCCCTTTCTGCAAAGTGTAAAGGGTTGGAGCTGCTGTTACAGTCCCCGTCTGTTTCCAGGCACTTCTGCCAGTGTGTCGTCACCAGGTCAATAAAGTATGATTGGTTTAACATAAATAAAATAACACTCTCCTTGCCTTACGTTGTTAAAAGCCAAGGAATAATGAATGAAACGTACATCATAAAGATCTTTTAGCATTTCAGTGCTCCTTTCTATTAACATTGTGGTGCTGAATGTGGCATTCATT